CAATAACGCCTGTCATGGCTCGAGCAGCGAGAAATCACTCCGATTCCTACAAACAGAGTAATGTCACCAGACTAGCTAATCGAGAGAAAAAACAATTACATTATCAAAAATGGTTGTCCAATAGAACTACATTGTTTATTTACACCTTCTTTCAAAAGGAGTATCAGATAGGATTTGTACGGTAAGGCATCAGGTAGCAGGAGTCGAGAGAAAACAAAAACTGTAATTTAAATGAAGTGCCTAAATGAAAATATCAGCGAGCTTTCCCTTAAACAAGTCGTCTGCATGGGTATATTGATGGACGCCACCAAATCCAGGTAGTCCACAGATCAACGATTCAATTATATCCCGATCTTGTACACCCTACATGAAGCGTAGACCATCAGGATTTGAAAATATTGTCCACGAAATCGCATGCGATGCAGCATCTTGTGGTAATTTGTAGGATCTGTCTTTAGACACATCCAGAAACATCAACTGGCCGATTTACACATGTGACGCTCGAGCATATAACTTCCTTTATGTGAAATCCTGTTGTCTTGCGTATTACTAGTGTATTTGGCACGCACAGATGAGCTCTTTAGCTCCGTCTGTCACTGTGTACGATTCTGCATCAGGTCACTAACCGGCTCCGATATTGACTGTGAATGGGCATATAGAGTAACATCGACGGCACTCAGCGTATTTTCCTCACTATAAGCAGTCTGACACGTTTGACTCTATTGCGATGCGCTGAAAGCCCTTGCTTGGAAGGCTACCAAATAACGGCATAATTCAATCCTCCTTCGAGGGCGGTAAATCTGGCCACAGTGGCTTCTTCCTCTTCTTGCTTCTATGGCGCTCCATCTGAGCTGGGGTCCGAGCCGTCTTCTTTGTTGTCTGTGTGAAATTCCGGTCCATTGTGTGCGGACCAGGTCGTGTGTAGCACGCGTAAACGGGGTATTAAACTCGGTCAGTCGCTGTAACCGATCCCACCTCCGGTCTTCTCGACTCCTTTCAGTCACCGAACCCAGGCAGGTGATGAGAGTGTGGCATCTGCTGCGAAAATCTACTACCACAATAAACCAATTCACGAGAAAGAAATTGTCAGTGTTCATGGTAGATATCGTCGGTAACGACGTTCGAAATATCATATACAAGGTATTGCAACTTGAATACTGACATATTCAGTGCTTATTGAAATACAGTTTCAATTGAAAAGTAACTGCTGTTCGAGCTTGTTCGGGCATCGCAGATGACAGTAATCCATGAAACGGCAAACATCCTTATTCAAAGACTACACGAAATTCTGAGAGTACTGCCTATTTTTAACGTAGAGATAAACTTTTCAGATGTCTTTGCAAAAATAATTTTTAGGAGTCTGAAGGTCAACGAGCGAGAAAGTTCTTTTATGAAACTCCTTCGACCAATCCACCTGCTTGGCAAAATATCAAGATAGTTTGATTGTGTTTTCTAAATTCGGATAGTATTTCAGGATGAATTCCGTTTGAGTAGAGAAGGCTGGTTCTGAGCTATCAAACTCGTAAGATAAGTTCATCGTCAGAAATAACAGCTGCAAATTGCGACTATTTGTCGTCCCGTGGCATAGCCAGCTTATGTTCATGTATGCACGATCCGAGCACGCGTTCAATTTGACCTGTTTAATTGCAAGGACAGCTCAGGCATGGGATTCGATACACTTGCTCTTTGAAATCCAGCCGGTCTTCGATTTTCATTATCCTTCTGTGCATGGTATATTTTTACCGGTGGGCAATTCGAAAAAGTAGGCTCGCAGCGACGCGCTCAGTCGCCTCTGAGAAGTCCCTGATGTATGGCAGAGCGTGCCACATCTTCGGTGGTGCTTCTATTTGGGCCATCTGAGGTTGAACGCACAAGCATCGACGTATAAACGCCTTCGGATATCCATTCCGCGTAAATTGGTCGCGGATATTTCGGGCCTCTCGTACCTTTTCCTCCGGCCTGCTGCGGTGAGTGTGATTCTGGTTGAAGAGCGTTCTCACATAATTTCGTATGTGAGCAACCGGATAGTTGCTGTGGAAGCTGAGAAGTTCCTCAACCAGCCTTCTCCTTTACTTATGCAAACACCTGGAACGCGAACCCTCGTATGTATTCGTCAATTCTGTTTGCCAAAAGCTTACGCTGGATTCCATTATGAATTCTACTAAATTAAAAGCCAAGAGAAAGAAATATCGATTGGGCTAGCGTTTACAAAAGCATGTGATCCTTTTTGAGGTACCACTCTATATCTAAAGGAAAAACAACGTATAGCAGGTAAATATAGAGAGCTGCATAATAAAATCAGACGATAATTAACCTTCGCATGGAAGTACCCACCTAGAGAAACCGGTATCCTTCCTTTGCTGGCCGTGTGGTGTATTAACAGGCCATCCACTTTGCAATGTCCCCGATCCAGTTGCAGGATAGGGACCAGAGGTATCCAAGAGGTCTCCCGATGTGCCACCCTTCTGACCGCCCTGGGCCACGGAGGATGCCGCCCTCAGGGGCACACAGAAATTGATGATAAGGTTGATGAAATGCACAATCTGAGCGCAGAGGGTTTTCTCCTCGTGCATCTGTAAGGTGGTCTGCATTTCCGCGGGACGCAATTTGCCTATGCGCAGCTCCTCAGCAGCGATCTCCAGAGTACTGAGGTCCGTTGAATAGGCAGGCTAGGGAGGGATCATAGTGTAAGGATAAGTTAAAGAAAGTATTGACAATGAACAACTGACGGAGAGCAGTATGGAAAACTGTTACATGCCAAGAAAGGGAGACTGCAAAGACACTAATCACTGCTTAGCTGTTGTCAACAACTTAAAATATGCCGCACTGACTCGAAGCTTGATCGCAAGCTCCACTTGTCACCTACGAGTACACGCTCTTTCAATGTAGTCCTGTGTCCTTGAAGGATTCGGCCTTTAGTAAGTAGTGCAACCAGTTCAACTAGGTTTGGCGGTGATGTCGAAGGGTTAAGTTTGCGGCAATATATCGCAGTTGTGATAGGCCTGAACCATTTTAGACACGCATAGGTTATGTCTATTACGGAAGTGACACATCGGAATACCAGTAAACTTTTTTCGTGAATTCCACTATGACCTAAAGAGAGGATATAATATTCAAAGCTGTCCAATCAAACATACATGAAAAGAAAAAATAAGTTGTTTTGTCAGCATTGTTCCTGGCAAGTTTAATCCACGATATTCGATTGGCTGATGATGAAAAAATAACATTCGCAGCGAAGTACGCACGATATCTGAATGGCTTACTTTGACCCCGGACAGGCAGACAAGGCTCAAAAGTAGAAATGGCAGAAAAAAACTGTTCCCTCCAAGCAAAAGTCAAAATGAATTAACCATGGAGACCTACAAAAGAGTTGGGCGACGCAGTCTCCTGCGCCTGTTGCTCTCCCGAGTGATAAAGGTACAGTTGGCGGAGTTGGTTGTTCACCTGTTCATTGAAGACATCTTCCCAAAAGGTGAGGTCTCCCCATATGCGGTGGCGCTGAATGCTGTGGGTCATGTTGGCGAAATAGCGGATTCCACCAAGTTGCTAAAGCGAAAATTAGGGTAGAAGAGTGCGCTTACACTTAGTATAGACTAAGAAGAAGACAGATTTTAAAGTTAAAAGTTGAAGGACGGAAAGAGGACGAAGAGTTTTAAAAAGGAAGAGATCAATACCAGACAACGAAACATCTCCGTACTCTGGGATGAGGCACAGAGGCCGGGTAAATAGCAAAATAATTGTTCCGCACATGTTGGAAACCAATAGCTGAGGCCATGACCTATACGGCAGATGTTGCGTACGGAGTGGGAGGGTGCATTAATATTCTTGCATAATAACAGACACTCCAATGAGTTGTGCCTGACGTTCAAATTAAGCCCAGTACCCACAAAGATGGTTACGTGAGTCACATATTGAAGGAAAACACGTCCCAATCCTGCTGTATTGCAGTTTAATGCAACTGTGATCTGAGTCATCATCAGTTCTAGATGTTTTTGTGCTGGACGTCCCTGGGTTGGACCACGCGGAGAGCCGCTCTTCATGAATTAAATCGTGACACGACGAGTTTCCTTGATGCCTTCGCCAAAGTTAGGACGTGCTATGGTGTACATTAAGGAGTAAGATGAAAATTAATGCCTCACAACTGACCTAGGTAAGGTAATTCCCCAAAATACCCGACGCCACAGTCCGTCGTTGAACCGCGAATTCCTAGGATCATGCTTTACTGATCGCCAGTGCAATGCCATGTGCAACCCATATTCGGTGCCGAGGCTTCGTTTGGTCAAAGCAATTTGTCACTCCAGAAGCACACAGTCGAACGGATCTAGGGAGCCAGGTGTCCGAGCAATCGTCACGCCTAATTCAAACACGGTTGATGAAAGTTCAGCCGATCACGACTCGCATACCGGCCATCAAGCAATTAGCGCACAAGCGGACAATTATTCTCGATAAGCAGGAGTCGTTAATTTTCATAGGTATACAGTAGCATACCGACTGTATCTTACAAATACTGCAATTTCCTGTGTACGAATTACCAATTTCTGTTATTGCCTTTGATGATGGATTTGCGACGGAAATCGAAACGCTCAGCGAAAAAGTTCTTGTCCCAGTGATCGCATCTGCTTCTTCTCCGGTTGGTTAAACCAGGACAAACTGTTAGCCGTCGCCTTCTACACTCAGGATGAACAGTGCTCAATTAAGTATACATGCGACCCATGTCGAATGGAAGCGCGCGTACAGATCTTCAGGGTAAGAGGTTGCGCTCTGAATACTACTCTAAGTATACTGGTGCAAGACAGCCGAAGGACTCTTGATAGTCCCATGCAACTGAGTTAATCGTGGGATGGATCCCGCGCCCGCAAAGCCGCCTGCACAGGCAGACCCAAGACTTATGCTGACTAGGATAACCCACAATCTGTTCACTCTCAAATACCCAACGTGAACATTGGTTTGACAAGACAACAGAACGCAGTTACTCCCCCAAAAACAGAACCCTTTTCCTGTCATTATCTTTAATCGGTTTAAAGAAAAAGAATTTTCATTTCTATCAATGAAAAACCAATATCTTCAACCGAAAACCTGTTGTGAAGCATAAAAACTCAAAGCACCGTCCTACCGAACGGTTAAGACAACTTAATATAAGGTATAAAAAATCGTGTGCGTGAAGAGTGAAAAGTAGTGCTACACACGCGCACGTACGTAAATAAAGAACGATATAGTGCACAATCTTACAGTGCTGAGACGCGTAGCCAGGTCGACAACGAGGGGCGCAATCACAGTGTTGTAGGACATGTCCTCATACCGAAGGGATTCATCTAATAAGCCTACAATCAGGTCGAACTGATCCCAGTTCAGGGAGGCACGCCGGCCATGGGCATTCGCTGTCGAACCACCAGTACTGCCATCGTCAGAGGGCGGAATGATCTGTTTGCCCAACTCATCGACGAAGAGTCTGCGAATGGACTGTGACTTCAAGTCCTGTCGTATGGTGTTTCGGCGCTAGATAAAAAAACAGGAGTTAGAACGAAAGTAAAGCAGGGGTGAGGTTCAGTGGAATAAACATCTGGACAGACCCGCGTAGATGTGCGGATGGTAACTGATATAATCGGTTGTACTTATGCACTGCCAAGTAACAACGAAAGTGTTTATGGGTTTTGCAGCTCTTCGTAAGTGGACCTAAACCGATCTGATTGCTGTCTTAGAATAACCTATCTCCGTCAAGCGGTGGTACAGGTCACGAAAATTTGACTATATAACAAGTTGCGATGCCAACAAGTAAACAGTGTTCGCATCCGACCAACAAAGGCAAATGATTTACTTTGACAGCAAATGTTTGGAGTAAAACTAATGTTCTTTTTGAGCAGCAAAACCAGCAACAAGTGTCTATGACGGGATATCGAAACTTTCATCCGTTAGACGTGATCGTAGGGTGGACTTGATGTATTTAAGATGTGAGAATGACTGCTCACATGCATTCGTCAATCCAAACAAATCCACTACAACAATACTCACAGGCAAGACTCAGGCCCAACAGGCAAAATAAAACCAGTAGAGTAACAACCATGTCCCGTTAAGTTTTTACTAGCACCTCAAAATCATTACCTATACTTTACTTCGGCCCCAGAACCTACAAGAGAGTCGTAATTCATTGCCCATATCAAAATGCTACTTACTTTCATACTCCTACGAGGAAACATTCTGGCGCCAATGAACTCATGCAAAAGGGGTACATTCGGCAGCATACATAAATTGAACTGTGAACACTAGACTACTTCAAGAGCACCTTAAAAATTCCCACAATGAACAACATATAAAGACTGAAGCATCAACCCAAAAACCAAAATTCTAACTACTCATAGAGCCAAGAAGGCACATATTTGGAAATATATTTCAGTGATGGCCATATAATATATTTGAAGATTGAATTTAATTAAATGTATCGACGGTGGCACGTGGAGGAACCAAAATAACCAAATTTAAAGTGTCTAATTCCAATTTTATCTGAGAGAGCCAGATGCACTCATTAAGAGTCACGTCTGGCTCGGGAACCATACGTTTCCGACTCCTGCCCTAACTGATATACACCCTTGTAGGGGTAGATTCGACTTCACTTGTTCAAGCTCCCTGTTGACTTATTTCTATTTCAGACGATGCAACTGAAGAACAAAATGTCAACTAAGGTGATTTTGGGATGCGAAATTAAACAAATGAGTACGAAAAGCAAAAAAGTCGCGAAAACGCTGAGCAACGGAACGGTTCAGGGGCGCATGAGGTATAAGAAGCACGGGGAGCTTCGGAATTAAAATCAAAACACTGATCAAGAGGAGAGCCGGTGACGCCTATGTACTGTTGAAGTCGACCAGTTTTGGACAGTTACTGACATAAATCTGCATAGGGGCAATCGAGGTGGGAACCTCCAAGGTTAAGAAATAAACCTCTTTCTGTTGAAGATAATGTACAGGTGATAATGGGTTTTATTTCCACTAATGAAGTTTATTCTAGTTTGAAAAACATACTTTTAAATTCGACCACTGAAAGCAAAATTCCCTTTACACAAGTATAAGAGATGAGATATGTCGGTTTTCAGCAGTAACCACGGAAATAGCCCGTTCAAGCGTGCCCAGTGGGCTTAATACCGAAAGTTCAGTTGGCAGTAGAGGAATTTGAATTCGAAGTCAGATTCAAATGTGGCCAGATCTTGCGCTGCATAAATGGTTTGGCTGGTCCTAGTGAATAATATGAACTGCGAGGCAGGTTTGGTAAGTAACTAAGTACACGTACAATTAACCTACCTTGAGGGCCTCAGTGATATGTCGGTTAAAAATATCAGCCACAAATTCACGGATGACGCGGCACTTATCCCGCGGGAGATCAGCCTTGAATGCCTGTCGGTCGAGCTGCTCGCCCCTGGGTACAAAGCGGGCCTCCTGACGTTCCATAACCACGGTTCTAAAAAAGAGCACAAAAAGGAAACTTGAGTTCAGAAAGTGCACGAAACCCTGCGTGTTTGAACGGAGGGAAAGTCCAATACTAGAGGTTTGGTTGCATCCCAAAGGTCCTACTGACACGAGGCAGCTCGGTTTAGCTGGCTTTCAGCATTTTTTAAAGCATTGAGTACTCTGTGTAGGACGCAACCTCGAGCTAATGAAAGGAAACCACAAAATGTAACAGTTAATGAGAATCCGTGAAATAAATATTCACCTGAGCACAAGAAAAAGAACTAAGGATGCAAAAATGATAAGCAAGAGCAAGTAACGGGAATACTTCATTTGACTCAAAAATGTAAAATTCCACGGCTTTGGTGACATTTTAACCCACGACAGCAAGAGTAAAGCTAGGTTACAGCCAACGCCGTAACCACCTGTGATAAGAGGCCCTGCCAGGAGCTGTGAGTTTAATCCCAGTTGATTCGAGTTAGCTGCCCAGAATACTGCAATGGATGGAATCAAACAATTCTGGTATTCGAAGTTGGCTGCCCGAGCAGGATTTCCTAAACAACCAATCTTGCATCCACAAAATGACTACCAGGCAAGTTAAATTAAGAGGTGATTTTATACGCCCGGTAGTCATCCGGCTGATTTTAGACTGTTTGCTTAGGAAATTCTTTTTGGCCAGTCAGCTTACCGTACCAGTATGGTAGAATTCATTCATTGCAGTTGGCTGGAGGCGTCACTTGACTTTGTCGATGAGGTCTCGTAGCTAGGGTGGTTAGAGTGCTGGCTACACTCAAGTCTTGCTGCCATGGGTTCTAACACCAACCGAGGCCGCCGAGCTTTTCGGAATTGGGCCAAATAAGTAAAACATTAAGTATCCTGGTGGGGTACCCGTGTTAGGGAAATGAGGACTGCACGCAGCAGTTCACTAGAAACCAAAGTAAGAGGCTTGCTAAAATAATCATATAAGTGTGATTATTGCTGGTAGGTTCACATTACCCCTCTTCAGATGTTGCAAGTAACCATAAAAACTATTAGATGACATAACGAAAGCAAGCACCAGCACTAAGATAATGCTCGTCTCCAGGCTGAGAAAATAACACGGAGCCACAACGGTTACAGTCAAAATATCGGAAAGTCCAAATTTTCGGTATAATCAGTAAGTATAATGGGTTACGTATCTAATGGAAACTCAATTAAATTCCCCTAATGTGATTTCAGTGAGACAGGATTGAGTAGGTGGGATTTTAATTTTGATTGTCGTGTAGCGCGCTACAATGCCAGTTATTTCCACGCGTGTTTTTCTGACCTAAAAATTACACAAGCTGTGTAGTGTGCGTTTGCTTTTTTGATTCTCTTGTAAATACTACAAATGGAATATAAGAAAGGATGTATTTCCACATGCTTTCTATAAAGAACGTTTGGAGTTACTAGCGTCAAAAATCAATTTAACAATGAATACTATTTAAGTGACTTTTACAGGAGGTCGGAAATACACGCACTGAGAACGCCTAAAACCTGGCGTGACTGAAATAGCTTGGACTTCCGTTATATGATAGTCAACATTACAACCCCACTTAGGTACTCCTTTCTACTGGAAAACAAATTTCAGAACTTCGGTCAATGCTGCAGTATTTTCGTCACCTACTACAGTAGAAAATCGAGAATTGTGATAATGTGAGCAACATATGGTCGAAAGATAGTCACAATCAACACTAAGAAAGGGTCCCATCTGGTGCGTGATCGAAAGCTGTGAAAAAGACAGACGGGGACTCACGAAGAAGACCTCCTTGCGTTGGCCCTCATAGCAAATTCGTCAACTAAGTCAGAGTTGATGCGCGGAAAGGGACGCTGATGGAGGCGGCAGTGTGCTTCAGTTGCCTCCTCTTGTAGGAAATTGGTAACTGGGTTGGCATCGTCACATTCCTAGCACAGCAAAAGGAAAAAAAAGATAAATGTGGCAATTCAAAAACAGGCGAACCATTATGGATTTCATTTCAACTATTCATGCCCATTTTCAGGACGAAGCTTAGAAGGATTCGGCTGACGAATTAACACTAAAATCATTGCTAATAAAAGCGAACATGCGAGTCCCAGGAAGTAATTGAGAAGAGGCCGATGGGATCACTCAGACGAAATTTTTATTCGCCCGACGTTTCGAAATTCGTCGCGGATCCAACAGCAGAAATGGGTAATGTATACATACTGATTTGCAGGCACTATTCTACTGCATACTTATGACAATTTCGGCTCCCCTGTCGAGGATAGTTGCCTGCCCGTGCGCTAATTACTTGATGGGTGGCGTGAGGGTCGTGACCCGTTGAAATTTCATCAGCTCTGGTGGACTCGGGTGTAATGGTTTCTCTGCCAGCTGGCTCCCTAGCACTGGCGTTAAACGACGTATTGGCCTGTGCACTCCCCAAGTGGCGAATTGTTTTGGCCAAACTGAGTCTCAGCACCGAATATGAAATGTTCAGGTCGTTCAGGAAGCCGTCGGCCGCCTTCTCGCACCACTTGGAGTTGGAGTCGCACACAGGCCGGAGGCAACCATAAGGTGTCAGATAATGAAGAAAAGACCCGCTGCCACGGCCAGAAACATCTGGGGTCGTCTACAGGATCTAAAGCAGTTGCGGTCAAAGCAACTATGTCGGAGAAACTGCCAGACTTCTCAAGACGCAAATTGCCGAACACGTGGCAACAGTGCGGCGAAATGATGCCAATACTCAAGCTGCGGCTCATTCGACGAGACCCGGCAACACGTTCAAATTTAGTGAGGCCGAAATTCTCGCAAGAGGTGACAATCGGGTGAGCTGAGAACTACTT